TTGACATCTGAAAATAGGGGGCACTTCATACATTATAAAAAAATTATGATAATCGAGCACAAATCTTGAGGCAAAATTATTTGACTTCTACCTATTACGGTCATTTCGACATCCATCACCAAATATTAGTCTTTCTGACCCCTATATCTTTCTGACTTCCATGTCCAAACAATGATCTTTCTAACCCCGATCTCTGGCTGACTATGGTCCTTCTAACCTCCATCACCTACTATGGTCCTTTCGACCTCCATTGTCTACTACAGTCCTTCCGACCTCCATCGCTTACTATGGTCCTTTTGACCTCCATCGCCAGACAAGAATCTTTCTTATCCCAGTCTCCTGTCGACTACGATCCTTCTGACCTCCGTCACCTACTAATGTCCTTCCGACCTCCATCGTCAGACAACGATCTTTCTTACTCCCGTCTCCTGCTAACTATGGTCCTTCCGACCTCCGTCACCTATTACGGCCCTTCTGACCTCCATCGCCAAAAAACGGTCTTTCTGACCCTGGCCTTCTGCCTACGGTTCTTCTAACCTCCATCGCTAGACAACGGTCTTTCTGACCCCTGTCTCCTGTCGACTACGATCCTTTCGACCTCTGTCGCCTACTACGATATTTCCGACCTCTATCCTATTGACTATGGTCCTACCGATGTAAACAAACATGTCTATGTTGATTATTGTAACTCCCACAATATAATGCGATATATATGACATTAAGCCAAGGCCTTCTCCCAAGAAAGGGCATCATTTGTAATTGAGTGCAAATAATAGTGGATTCATTCAAAATGGGCCATGCCCCATGTTTTTTCTCCTTTTTAAGGGTTTCCACCTAAAAACTCGGGTGTCTCTTATAGCATTACGCTATCTCTTTCATCTGCTTGTGTGTTGGTCTTTGTACAATGCTATATATTTCTCTATCACCATGAATATTCCAGGAAGCAACAATTATCATTAATGAATAATAATTATAAATAATTTAATTTAATTATCAATTAATCTCACTATTTATTTATTACATTACATTTCTAATTTAATTAATTAAACTAATTTGATTAATTCTTAGTAAGGCGAATAAATTTTCCTACCCTGCCCCCATGCCAATGCCCGCCTATTTCTATGATTTCTTTTGCTCTTTGTGTCTAATCTCTTCACATAGCCGTTGCCTTGTCCAGCGTATGCTTTTCCTCTTTGCTTCTTCGTTGCTATTTTTTTTTTTGAAAGAGTTGCTAAATCCCGAAATCCAGGACGCTTCTTCGCCTCCTTCGACGACGTTCTTCCTGTAGGATCGAAAGTCACGACCGGAGCTCTCCGCGAAGGTAACGATCTTCCACCGCTTTCGCTCTAATTCTTTGCAAATCATCTTTGTGGCGGTCCTTTTCTTAGAAAACCTAACGCGATTCTTTCCGCGCATCCCCTATCTAATTTCTCTTGTCCATTCCTTTCATTTGGACTTCGCCTGGATCGCGTGTGGCAGAGTTTCGAGCGAGTTTAGCTACTTCGCATCCTTTGACGACCTTCCTGTCGGATCGAAAGTCACATGAGATAAATAACGTTATTCCTTCGCCTCCTTCGTTTTGGATTGGAGATGAATTACTGTTTGATATGATTGTCACTGAATTTTGAAGTGGAAAATGGGTTTTTCGGTTGGAGATGCCCTAGGGAGGGATGGTTTTGCGAAATAGCATATCTTGAAGATTTTTGCAATTAAATTTTGTCCATTGATTGAAGTGTTCAGTGTTTTATATCTAAGATCCAACTTGCATTAGTGTTTCCTGCTAGATCAACAGTATATCTGGTATGCTGCAACCTATTGTCATAAGCATACTTGTATTAGTAGTTTTAGAGGTCTTTTATCCTGTAGTAGTTTTAGAGTCTTTTATATCTATGATACAACTTGCATTAGTGCATCCTGCTAGATCAACAGGTTATCTGGTATGCTGCAGCCCATTGTCATAAGCATACTTTAAGTATCTAATTACCCTTACAATTGATTTCCAATGATCAACACCTAGATTATTCATGCACTTATCAATCTACTAACAGCGAAGGCAATGCTTTTGTTGTACAACTCATTTAGTGTATTAGACTACTTCTCACCTTAATATACTCTACTTGGGAGACATTTATCTATTCATGGACTGAGCCTAACTTAAATTAATTGGAGTTTTGGCCTCGTCAAAATCATCTTTATTAACTTTCTCAAATATCTTACCTCCATAATGTGATGGACTCTATATGAGACCATCTAATGACCTTATGATTTTGATCCCTGATATATTATATCAACCAGACTGATTTCTTCATTTTGATTCTTGAGTTCAAGATTTCTTTGATAGATTTGATTGTCCAATCATTATTATGCATAATGAGCATATCTATCTTATGTATCTTTGATGTATACACATTTGTCACACTCATTGATTTTGAAATCTTTTGTTAACATGACATGGTCAAATTTCTCGTGTTATTATTTTGGTTCTTTCTTTAGTCCTTACATGAACTTCACCAGTTTATATAAAATTTCTAACTTGTCTTAGAGCTACACAGCTCTCAGGTTTCTCTATGTAGATTTCCTCCTCAATATCTTCATGAAGAAAGGTTGGATTCATGTCCATTTGGTGAACTTCAAGATTTTGCAATGTGATATTAGTCAATATCATCCTTATAAAGTTTTTCTCATCATGTGAAAATAGGTGTCAAAGAAATCAAGGCCTTCTCATTATTTTTAACCTTTAATTACGAGTTTGACCTCATACTTGTCAATTGCTTCAATGCACAAAACGCTAAGTCAAGTAATGCTTTTATCAACTAGAACTCTCTCATAATTTATATATCATTTGTGTATGTATATATGTGCATATGATAAATATTTATTTAATTAAACTCAAAAGACATCGTGTAATAAATTTCAAACAATTTTATGATACATTGTATTATGTATTGTTTGGCTCTATTCTTTATTCCTTTATCCAAGTTCTCTTTGATTCCCATTTATATCATATTATTCCATTTGCATCTTCTTTTTCATGTTCAATATACATGAAATGTTCTACAAGGCTTTTTATCTTAGGAAGTTTTAACCCTAATAATGACTGCATTGATACTTTTCATTCCATGCACACACATTTTTATATTTGATTCTTTAGGTTTCTTTCCAAAATATTATGCTCACTTGTTTAGGTCTAGATGGTCGGGATGCTTCAAATCTAGAAGGTCTAGGCTCAAGATGATGTAGCTCAAGGGCTGTGGTCGATGGTCGACTAAAGGTCTCGTGCGCTGCTGTTGATTCAAGGTTGTGGGTTTTTGGAAGTTACTATTCATTGAAGGTCGCAACAAATGTTGGCGAAGGTTGGGAGTGTTGAGGGTGTTAGCTCATAGGCTAGGTTTGATGGGGAGAACTTCGAATGCTGTTAGTTGTGGATGAAGGTTTGAATGCTGTTGGTCGAGGGCAAAATTTCTTACTGGCTCATTTTTTATTGGCCAATTTATAAGGAGTAGATTTTAAGTTTAAATTAGTTTAAGAAACGTGTTAGAGAAGAAATTTAAAAAGGAGCAAATACAGAATTTAATTATCCGGTTTTCATAGAAACCGGAAATTCATTATCCGGTTTTCGGTTTCAAACCAGAACTTAATTATCCAGTTTCTATTGAAACTGGAATTCCATTCCACGATTTCTTAAAATAAAACAAAATTTTTTCAAAGAAATTGGTTCTCGGTTAACCGGTTTTTTAATAAATTTTTTTTCCTTTAATCCATTCCACGGGTATCTAAATATTAATATTTATTTATTTATTTAATATTTAAATCATTATATTTATTAAAATTATTTTTTTATATTTATTTATTTTAAAATAAATACATGTATATTATTTTATTGTGATGTAACAATATGGGTTTCACTTTCATTTTTTTATTTTAAATAAACCTGTTTTTTATTTGCAACAATGTAATTAAAAATATATTATATAAAATAAATTTAAAAAATTAAAAATATATATTTTTTAGTTTTATTTTTACTTGTTCTAATAAATTTGAAATAAAATAAAATGTTTATTAAAATGTTATATATGCAGTATATCATCCAGAAAATTAAATCAGGATATCGATGATGAACTTTGAGGTATTCAGTAAATTCTATATAGGTCGGCGACTGACGTTTCAAAAAATAGGACAACAGGAACAAACCATTTCGACTCAAGTCGTGAGCTCAATGTTTGTCCAAATCAGAAACTCGAATCACATTTTTAAATTTTAATATTTAGAAAAATATACATAAGTTTATAAAAAATTATAACATTTAAATAAATTTAAAAGATTATCATCTAAAATGTTTTTTTATTATATTTTTTTATTAAAAAGTTTAAACCTTTTTTGGTGCCGAATGTTGGCCATTAAAGGAAGATAATATTAATTAAGTGTGCAAGATGAGGTGCTCAGTGGATAAGTGGGCTTTACCTTAGAAATAGGATGAATGAGCATATCTTGAAAAGGTCGGGAGTAGCTCAGTAGAAGATTAAGGTTTAGAGAGAGTCGGCCTTAGATGGTTTGGTCACATAAAACGGCGGCCTTCCGATGACCTCGTTAGGAAAATAGATGTATTATATTTAACTTATGTTAAGAAAGGTAGTGACAAACCTAGAAAGACTTGTTTAGAAAATATTAGAAATGATTTTTTTGATTAGATTTAAACGAGAATTTGACTTTTAATAAGACACAATGAAGAAAAAGGATTCATGTAACCGATCATACGTAGTGAGATAAATGCTTGATGTTGTTGTTGTTGTAATCCTATTAGTTATTTTAAAATATATCAACTAAGCTAATTATATGAATATTAATTATTAATTATTCAATTAATTTAAATTAGATAATTAATTTATACACTAATTAAGTAATTATACTATTAATTATTTAATTATTTTACTTAATTATTAATATTTTAAATTATAATAATTAAGATTATCCATAATAGCTTAGAGCCTTCTAGGGTTTGCTTCTTTTCGTCGTTGCTGTTCGGCTTCGTTGCTTCGCAGGAGGTGTAGGTCACTTCTTCGGCTCCTTCGTCGTTGTTCGACTACGCTCCTTCACGACTTTTCCTTCCTGTCGGATCGGAAGTTACGACATTTTGATCGGAAGCAACAGCGGGAGCTCGCTGGCTGGGAAGGTAACTTTCTCCCTTTCGCGAGCTTCTTCGGCCAAATCCCGTAAATCCGCCGAACCTAGGGATTTAGTAAATCCGGGATTTATCCCTCGCCGGGATTTAACGCGCGCACAAAAACCTTTTGGCTGGATTTAGCGTAAATCCCGCTGTAAATTCGATACCAAACAACCCTAAGACCAAAATTAAAACCAATCAAAAGCCACAGCACAACTGCACTTCTTGCAAGTGTTTTATTGCTCAACGGGGGTGAAGTGGCCTCTTTGAAAACTTACTTTGCTTGAGAATGATGCGAAGCAGGATTTGCTTGCTTTGGAGCGATTTACTATTGAAACATTCTTTTAACAACCCTGTTTATTTCCTCTCTTAGTCCTGGAGCCTTGACCACATTCCACCATGTTGGCCTTTGTAGTATTATAGATTGTCGGTGACATTCTTTTTTGAACCTTCCTATTTTTTCAATATGAGGTATTGTAGTGATCTCTTCAAATTTCATCTCCTTTCTTGTGCTTTGAATAGTTCTTGAAATCCTTTGATATAAGTGGTAGCTTTTTAATAATAGAAACTATCTAAAAGGACTCACTGAATCATTCCCTCTATGTGAATTTTGTGGAGAATTACTTGGAGTTCCAACACCTGACTCACCACAGTCCTGGAGTCCACAATCTTGAAGTCCAAGAACTGGCCATCCAAAAATTTATTGGCGCTGATATCCTCTGACTTATATTTATGGTCTAAAGACTCCCATAACTCTTTAGTCAATTTGTTTGAGCTATGCACACTATACAATGCATTAGACGAGCCATGCAAGATGTAATTTCAACATAGAAAATCAGAGTTCTTCCACACATTCACGTTATGCACAGCTTGGATGCTGGGCTCCTCTCTCAAAGTAGGAGGATTGTGTGTCCAGAATCTCATAAGATTCAACATTTACAAGTAAAACATCTTTGGTGCTATATAACCGAGAACCTCTTTTCCACGAAGTGGATCCCATTCAAATTTGGTCATGGTTCCACAAACTATTTCTCCAAAAATGTTGCCATTCTTACGTTTTCTTTAGCTGTGTTCTTTTTGATTTTGCTGATTAACTGCAAAATGGGTTGTTAAAGAAATTGCACGTGTGAAGTGCTGCCAGTAGAACTCTTTATGCTTAAAATGCCGGGAAAAGTTTTTCCTTAGCACTGCAGCTCTTTTACTTGGTTCTTTTGTTTGGTTTTTAAGCTAGAGCACAAGGCGTCATGTGCTTATAAGGATATACTGTCGTTGTATTTTGACCTGATAGAGTTTTGTTTTGCTTGCGTTATGGTTGTCTGAGTCTGACCTGATTACAACATTTTCTATTTTATTTTTCATGCTTACTTTGTGAAGGTTATCTGATGTGAAGAGTGAATAGTTGCTGACAAAAAAATAGTGCTCTGAAAATTCTGGAATTGTGCAAAGAAAAAGGCCTGAAAGTATGTTTAATACCTCGAAGAACTATTCCTAATAAACTTTAGCCCAGTCTTAACTTATTTATTTTCTTTGTATTGCTGTGTGAAGGTTGATTTAGCTGTTTGGTAAAGATGGATACACCCCTCGCAGCTGCTGTTCATAAAGAAAATGTACACATTGGTGGAGGTCTGACATATTATACTTGCGTAGTTGCGTTACTTTATTGGTCTATCATTACAGGATTCTTAGAGTTATTGTTGGTTGAAATTTCTAGGAAAAGCTACTGTCACAATGAAACATGATAAACTAAAGACTGCTAAGACTGCTGGCAAAGAGCGCAAAGCTTTGGCGGACCTTAGAAGTACTTATGGACCTGTAGCTGCTGCATCAAAGGATGTTGATTTGAAGCAGAAATCTGCAATGAAGGGCAACGAAATAAAAAAGAATCCAATGAGACAGGGAATGCAGCACGCAGCAGCAGCAGATGTTTTTACAACTAAGAAACAGTTAGGTACTAGGCTATCAAAGGGTGCCAATCTGAATAGCAATTCGGTGTTGTTAGACAACTTTGGAAAGGGGAATACACCCTCTGGCCATATATTGACTGATGAAGAAATAAAACAGTGTTGTGAATGGGCTAAGGATGGAATAGAGGAAATGGGGGGCTATTCTTGGTCTGCAAAGGATGAGGCAAATCTTCTTATGAATCAAACTCTATCAGAGATTATGGCATCAGCTATTGGTATATCAATCTCGGAGTTGGAAAAACCAATATTGGTACGTAGCAAAATCCACACTTTTGATTTCACAAATTAATTTATTTGGACATTGCATATCATGGGAAATACATGCAAGTACACCGACTCCACCATTTTCCATTGCAACTTTTATAGAAAGTTGTCCAAAAAATCTTATTTTTACTATGCCCTGCCATTTTAAAATTTGCTAGCTGTTCCAGTTGCATGTTATGTTGCTTTATTTGGAATGTCAATTTTGTGTAGTTTTTTTTTTTTTATTTTCATTTTTTCTTCATTCTTTTATATTCGTAGAGTGATGAAGAAGGCTATGAGACAGATGGGTCAGATTTGAACAGTTCCATATCAGTTACAGGTTTTTTTCCTCTTCCTTCTTTATTTATTTCATATATTTTGGAGTATGAATTTTATTTCTTCTTGTCCATTTTCTTTATAGCCCAATGTGTTTTAATAGATGATGCATGCTTACCTGGTGAAGGGTGTACAAATGTGCAGGACGCCTTTCATCACTTTATACTCCAGAAGAATTAGATGACCCTCTTGGTGTAGCTGGAATAGTGCTGGATGATGACTACCCATTACCAGAATTAAAGCTGAATGATGACTACGGAGAATTTAGGATTGATAACGTTGCAATAATTGATGGTATTAATTCTTAAAACCCAATTGATGAGTGACATGCATTCCTCTTCTACTTCATGATAAATTTTACAATAAGTATCAAATTTAGGATACACTTATCTCGTATTCTCTAATCTATTTAGTTCAAAAAATCGATTGAAGAACTAAAAGTTATCATTAAAGTGGCTAGTTGGATTTTCTATTATTTTTAGATAACATGGTACAAATGCCCCCTTGACATGTAGTTATCATAATAATAGCTACTAAACTACTAAGTTATTATAAATTATATAATGTAAGAAGCTGTGGGCTCCGATAATTCGCGTCAGACAATACTTCTCGATAGAAGAATAACATATCTTTGCTCCAATCAATTTCCGACTCATGTAGTAGAGCGCGTTCTCCTTATCTTATTTCTTATGCTGAGCTAGTAGTGCCCGAAGAGACTCTTCTAGTGCAAAGATAAGAGGCTTCTATGAAATTGGCGCAGTGAGAATAGGTGGATTCAACAGGTTTTTTTTATACTATCAAATGCTTTATGATATTCTATCCCATTTGAAGCGGATATCTTTCTTTATCAGCTTTGAGAGCGACTGACATCTACTTGACATATTCGATATAAATCGTCAAATGAAAGTCAGTTGTCATTGTAAAGAGTGAAGTTGACGAAGGTTCTTGGAAGGCGACATCTCCATGATTGCCCTTTGATCTTATTGGGGTCGATTTCGTTTCCTCGATAGCGAATGACATATTCCAGGAATTTTCATGAGAATCTGAAAGCACATTTGAGAGGCTTCATTTTCAGATTGAACATTTTGATCCTCTCAAATACAATCCTCAGCTCATTAAGGTAATATTTTCAATCCATACTCCGGTAAAGTCATCTATATATAGCACTAGACCTTTTGATGAATCACCTCATCAAATATGTACGTCATTGCTTGCTTATAGGTAGCACCGCGTTCTGTAAGCCGAAGGGCATAAACGTGTAACAAAATATGCCGATGGATATTCTGAAAGATATATGCTTTTCATCTTCAGGCGCCATCTTTATATGGTTATATCATGACTACTCATTCATGAAGGAGAACATATCATAGTTGAACGTATTATCAACTAGAAGTTCTGACATTGGGAGGGAAAAGTCGTCTTCCCGACACGCCTTATTGAGGCCCCTGAAATTGATACAGACACAAATCTGACCGTTCTTCTTCTTAACATGGACACTATTGGTAATCCAATCGGCATACTTTTATTCTCGAATGAAGCCCGCTTCTATGATCTTTTTTTTCTGTAATCACCTGTTCTTTAATCTCCAATCTCATTCTCCTTGGAACTTGTTTGATAATTGCAACATCTAGCTTAATGGACAATCTGTGAACTGTTGCGTAAGAGGATAAGCCGAACATCTTAGCATATGTCCAGGCAAAGCAGTCACTAAATTCACAAATGAGCTTCTTCATTTCTTCAACTTAGTTCTCCGAAAAAAGGCACTGATAAAGGTTAGATGAGGATCTTCTTCAGTTGGCAAATTAACATATTTCACCTACTTTTTTCCATATCATTCTTCGAATGCCTTTGGAGCAATACCCGGGCATCATCGCAGGCATTATCTCATCGAAGTCGATGAACTTGACGAGCCAGTCATAGTTTTCATCTTTATGTTCTCCGACTTTATAGAGTAAGTTGCCTAGTCCAACCCCTTTGCTTAGAGGATGTACATAAAGCGTTTTGAGCTCTTCGACATTATGCACCTCTCTCAGGGTGGCTTCTTTGAAATGTCGTGGAGGAAGACATGTGATCACGATTATGCTCTCGAAGATTGACAAACTACTTATTCTTCTTGAGAAGACACCTCAAACCTTGCTCGTGTATGTAGATTCATAATCATAATTGAAATATGAATTTTCCTCTTTTTTATTCCCTTTTGCTATAGATTTGCATGTCTTCTTAGATTTTGCAGGGATGACATCTTTTTCCATGTCGCTCCATAGGTGAGGCATAATTCTTTTTGTTTTAGAAGTGGAGGTTGTTTTGGGGAGAGTCGATGTTACCTTCTTTATCCCTCTTTGCTTTTTCTCACCTTCTTGCCTAGGTTACTTTGTAGTTTTTGAATTTGATGCCTTGGCCTCACGGGTGCTAAGTGGCTTCGACTCCTTTAAAATGAAGTATTTAGCATTGTCATATATTTTGATCTCATGGACTACAAAGGGTTTTATATCGCCTGAGATCCTAAACTTATCTCTGAGGTATTTCATACACTGATGTAGGGTTGATAGGACAATTTCGTATTCATGCAACTAGGGGCAACCTAGAAGCGTCTTGAATGAGGTATCAACATCAATCACATGAAATTTAATCTCATTATACAGTTCTCTGAACACAAGTGGGAGTGCGAATGATCTTAGGATCTTCTTCCCCTTCTTGTTGAAACCATGCACCATCAGCTTGTCGTGCCCGAGGTACTGCACATCGAGGCACTGTGATCTCAACGTTTTCAAGCTTATGAGATTTATAGAAGATCCGACAACCAGGATCTGACTTATTATAATACCGTCTCTCTCTAGTAACATACAAATGCGGTTGTGATCTGCTGTTCCGAGCATCATATCTTATTCCGCAAAAGTGATGATTGATTCATTCCGGGCTTGTGGAACTTCTGTCATGTTATGCTTAGCAAAATACGTCTCATATATTTCGGAGCTTTTGAGAGCCTGAATCAAAGTCTCTTGAAAAGTCTCTTGAAGTTCTTTGGATATTATTAGCATCGTATATGCTGAGCTGTGCTAGGATTTTTCTCAGATATAACATGATATTGCAATATGTCTCTTTAGCTGAAGCATTTTTCTTCTTAGGTTCTTTAGGGATGATGTTTTCATTGATAACTATCTCTTTGCCTTATCTTTATTGGAGATCTGCTTCTTTGATGGTGATGACATTATTTTGTCATTTCTCAATTACACTTGGTTCATCTGATTCAAACTCATTTGTTGGAGCATTTTCTTCATAGCCGACCATTGTTGCATCTGAAGATTCACTTGTGGGCTCAGAATCACCCTCTAGTCTCACCTGCTCAATCTGTTATGCAATGTTGGGATCTGAATCATCTTCGTTTGAAAAATATAGATCCTCTTCTAAACTATATTCCATCGGTGACACCATTAAATAGGACTTGGTGGCCTCTTCTTCAGCGTATTTTTCCATGGTTGATGTGTGATAATAAGACAAAATCAGGGTTTGAATGTTCCCAAAGATGACGTTTTCATTGAAATTGGGCAAGAAGTTTCTGAAAAGCCTAGTTAAATAACAATAAATTAGTAAATATTGATACTAACAAGGACAATGAATCAGTAGCAATATCAGTAGGATCATTAATAGTATCAGTATCCATAAAATCGGTGCCAGAGTTAAATAGTACAGTAACAATAAAACAATAATTAGTAGAATAATAAAACAGTACATTGACAGTTGTGCGGTAAAAAGCATTCTAGTAATCATACGAAACAAGGAGTTCTGACTTGCGTCAATGTTTAAAATTGCGTATTCGGGTATTGAGGCGTTTTTCATTCGTGAGGCGAGGCGTAAGCCTCAAGGCGTTTTGAGGCGTAAGCCTCAAAATCAAAAGATTGCGTAAACATAAACTGATAAATTTTTTATATACTAATGAGTGAATAATATAAAACATAAAAAAACATAAGATATGAAGTGAAATCAAAATATCCCAATAGTAAGACAACATGAAATATAGTTCAACTCAAAATTCTATCTTTCCCAAATCCCAGTATTCTTTTCATTAACATATAATTAAAATTTCCTAAAATAAATAGCAATGACATATCACATAAGAACTCATAAGTCATCACCAAGGGGTTCTTCATTTGAATCATCATTATGATGAACTGCTCTCTCCCCTTCCTCCTCTCCTATAGAGTCCAATGTCAGGCATTTACTTCAAGATTTATATAAGTTTATATATATAGCATGAGGCGTAAGCCTCATGCCAGTGAGGCGAGGTGGGCCTCAACCAAATTGAGGCGCAAGCCTCATAAAAAAAACTCGAGGCGTAAGAATCAAGGCGTTTTTTACTGGAATTGCGTAAAGGCAGGCCTCAAGGCGAGCCTCATATTGCGCAATTTTAAACCATGACTTGCGTGATGTTTTTCAAGTAGTCGGTAATCGGTAATCAGCAACCGTTGGCTCAGTAAATAGAGTCATTACTCCTTGCCCATCGGTACAGTAATAATTTCTTATAACTCTCAATCGGTGCATCACGTAAATTAGTCGAGGATAACATCAAACCAAGTATTTAAAGCAAAGTCCGTCGGCTCATCATTTGTACATGTTAGTCAGTCTTCAGCCAACGTTAGTAAAACCAACATTTACTTGTCCTCACACATACTATTATAATAGTTTTATAATAATAATAACGATTAGCTATTATACAATGACATGTTTGCATTCATTCATAATACTTATATTAACAATATACATATATTAAAATACTAAAATACTTATTTCATGCAAACAAAATATAATAACTTTCATTTTACCTGATGAAATAACATAATCAACCATTCAAAATGTCTATGATATGTACGAAAGTTACGTGGTAGAAGTTCACTAAATCTTAGGAAAATATAATAAATGTAATTTAAAAGAAATCGGACATTTGAAATCAAAATCTTAAAAATAGACATAGGATAAAAATCACCTACCTCAATATGAGAAATTTTTGTAGATTCACCCTTGAATGATGATTTATCTAATAAGCAAATTTTGTTCATTCAAGAAATGGAAAATTTGTTAATCTAAGAATTATATTTTGAAGTGAAGTGTAATACCACGCTCAAGAGGAGGGGAGGATAGGTGAATTGGTGTTTGATAATTTTAAACTTTTTAAAATTTTAATTGAGACAAAGAAAGAAGACTAGCAAGGTAATCTATATGAAGAAAAAGTAAAATAAAACTATTATGTAGTTCAATAGATCAATTACTGAGTAAAAGTCTAAAATAGTCTCCCAACTATGAGAAAATGTTTAATTTATGATAACCTATGATGCACAGACACGGATACGACACGACACGGACACGGACATGGGACACGTCAGTTATTGAAAATATAGGACATGGACACGGGTTGGACACGTTATTATAGTTTTTATATTTGAAAAATAGTGTATAAAAATTAAATAAGTATAATTTAAAAAATTATTTAAAAATAATAAGTCATTTAACTAGAATTTTTGCTTAAAATGATTAGTATTAGGATGTCGAGAGTCAGGCATCAATGCCGTTTATTAGTCATGAAGAGAGGAGAGAAAAATACCTTCACTGCCAAAAAGAAATGAAAATGAGAATATTCGATGATTGGGTATTAAGTGCGGACGTTGATTTAGTGTTGTGGATTAAAAATAAGAAATTTATTTTAAATCCCGCCAAATAAAATAAATTATATTTAAAAAAATTCATAAAATATTTAAGATACGTGTGTCGGACACGCGTGTCCAATTTGTATTTAATATTTATTAATCAGACACGTTTTCGGTGTGTCCGACACGTATCGGAGGAGTGTCGGGCGAGTGTCGTGTCGGACACGGTGTCGGACACTGCACGCCTCTTTGAGGAGAAGTGTCCGTGCATCATAGATGATAACCCAATTTAGTCCTCCCGAGTATTAGAAAATATCCCAATTTGGTCCCAATGCCAAAAATAACAGTTAAAATTAATCTTAATAATTAAATTTGTGAGCATTTTGGGTATTATAGTATATATGAGATTATATATATTTTTTATTTTTTATTTATCATATTAAAATAAATATTAAAATCATGATGAAAGTTAATTAACTAAATAATAAGAGTGAATAATTAATAAATATAGTTAACTTTAACTGTTACTTTTGGTCTTGTACTAAATTGAGATATTTTCTAATAGCCGGGAGATTAAATTGGAGCATTATAAAAGTCTGGGATTAAATTTAGTATTTACTAGTAGTTGAGAGACTATTTTGGGCTTTTACTCATCAATTATTAAACGAGCATAAATTTATGAGAAATATAATTTGTATGAAGATGAACTAATATCATCACAACTGTATTTTCCATAGTGCAGGAGATTAAGCATAGCACATAATAATGTTAAGAACATAAAGTGCAAACAAAAGAAGACGCAAATCAATTTTTTATATGATTCGGTACTATCACATGCATCCACACCTTGAGACCTCTACCTTATCACTGATCTCTCCTTGGGCAACCACCATGCAAAGAAGTTTTTCTTAACGGGTAATGGAGAAATCCTACACCTTCTAATCAAAGCGAGAAGAGCATTACTCTAATCCACTGGCTAGTCTATTACCTCTTGTAACACGAACCTTGAGAGCTCTCAAATGTCTTACAAAACTTGATAAAGTAATAATTTTCCACAAAAAAAAAAATAGTAAAAACATTGGAGGTATTGTCGTAGAAGAAAAATGGAAATAATAATGGTGAGCATACTCTTACAAGAAATTTCTTAGTTAGGGTTTTCACAAAAGAACATGAAATATTCTACCTCAAAGCATTCTTCTCCTACATATTTTCTTGGCTCCAATCTATTTTAAGGTTTTTTTTTTCCTTAAAGGAAAGGTATATAAAAAGCACTCAAGGTTTAAACTCTAACATAGGCTAAATTAGAATGTACGTGCTTTATCATACAGAGTGATCTGATCATCAAACAATACAATTAGTTTAAATAGTAAAAGTCATGAAAAGTAGATTATTTAATTGTTTAGTATGATTATCATCATACTATACAAATAGTTATGCTAGATTTGTATTTATTGCCTGCTTAATTTTTGTGGCTTAATTATATTAATTTAGGAAGATAATCATATATTATAATATGCTTCATATTGTACTATTAATTCAAAATATTAATTAATCTAATAAAATAATCTTTTATTGCCTACACCTTCTAATCAAAGCGAGAAGAGCATTACTCTAATCCACTTGCTAGTCTATTACCTCTTGTAACACGAACCTTGAGAGCTCTCAAATGGCTTACAAAACTTGATAAAGTAATAATTTTCCACAAAAAAAAAAATAGTAAAAACATTGGAGGTATTGTCGTAGAAGAAAAATGGAAATAATAATGGTGAGCATACTCTTACAAGAAATTTCTTAGTTAGGGTTTTCACAAAAGAACATGAAATATTCTACCTCAAAGCATTCTTCTCCTACATATTTTCTTGGCTCCAATCTATTTTAAGGTTTTTTTTTTCCTTAAAGGAAAGGTATATAAAAAGCACTCAAGGTTTAAACTCTAACATAGTCTAAATTAGAATGTACGTGCTTTATCGTACAGAGTGATCTGATCATCAAACAATACAATTAGTTTAAATAGTAAAAGTCATGAAAAGTAGATTATTTAATTGTTTAGTATGATTATCATCATGCTATACAAATAGTTATGCTAGATTTGTATTTATTGTCTGCTTAATTTTTGTGGCTTAATTATATGAATTTAGGAAGATAATCATATATTATAATATGCTTCATATTGTACTATTAATTCAAAATATTAATCAATCTAATAAAATAATCTTTTAATGGTAGATTCTTTTGAAATTAATATTGATCAAATAGCATGATTAGTGTGAATAATGTTTATTTAGGATGAGTAATGTTTATATGCCTAAGATTGATGATTAAAGGTTAATCTAAGGGTGTCCATTGTTTGAAAATAACCATAGATAAGACATGGTTGGAGCATAGGAGACTATGTTACACCAATATGAACACAGTTAAGAAGATCACTCATCTAGATTTAGTTAGAGGGATGCTTCAGCTAGAGTTCACTATTGACCATTTATGTGATTGTTGCTAGTTTAGAAAATACGTTAGTCATCATTTCAGTTGGTCAAAAATATTATCACATCTAGATCATAAGAAATTTTATGCACGTGTTTATTTTACCCAATTAGTACAGTTAGTCTATGATATAAGTTTTATGATTTTATCATTGTAGATGATTACACAAGATTTATCTGGGTCAGATTCTTAACAAATAAGAATGCCTCCTCCACTGATTTTAAAATGTTTGCAAAATTAATTTAACAAAAAGAGGTTATTTAATATCTACTATCCACAGTGGTGATAGAGGGAAATTTGATAATGATAAATTAAATTTTTTTAAAGGAGTTAGGAATAAGTCTGAAATTCTCTGCACAAAATATACTTAACATAATAGAATGACAAAAAGAAATGAATAGGATTTTGATAGAAGCTTCTTGTTCTATGCTCAATGAATATAACCTACCTAAGTATTTTTAGGCTGAGGTTGTCGATATTGCATGTTACGTAATAAATAGAGTAAATATTCATTTTAGGATGAACAAAACTATATGTGAATAGCTTAACGGTAGAACCTCAAACTTATCATATTTATATATATTTGGCTGTTAGTATTTCATGTTGAATAATAAAAACATGTCCAGGCAAGTTCAATGCCAAATCAGATAAGGTTATATTTTTGGATATTCATCAGTAAGAAAATTATTTAGTGTTTTATAAAAGAATTTTAATAGTATAAGAATCTACATGTCAATTTTGATGAATCTGTTATCCATAGTCAATCTAGAGAATGGTGAGTTTCCCAAACTTGAAAAATTAGACATGCTCAAAAAGAAATTAGAAATACTATCTAGATAATGAATATCTAGTTATCCTAAAGATTAAAAAAATTGGAAATTCTTCTATCAACATCAATACAAGAAATGCATTTTTTTTAAGGAAACAAAATAGAAATTCTGAAATCCTCAAAAGGATATCATGCACTTCACAATACAGATTCATAAAACATAATGCATTATCATTAAACGATGAAATCAGATTCTGAGATAAAAACCCAAATATCTTAGTGCATTAAAGCAGTAGAAAACTACACATCTGAATAGCCCAAACCCCAAGCACAAACCCTAGCTTTTTACTCGCCAAAGCCATAAAGAGTATGCCCCTGGCGCTTGAGCGCGTAGACTACGTCCATGGTTGTGACAGTCTTCCAGCGAGCATGCTCCGTATAGGCGACAGCATCATGGATAACATTCTCAAGAAAGATCTTCAGAACGCCACGGGTCTCCTCGTAGATCAAACCACTGATCCGTTTAACGTCGCCACGCCTTGGCAACCGCCGGATCACCGGCTTCGCAATTCCCTGAATGTTGTCTCGGAGAACTTTGCGGTGGCGCTTCGCACCGCCCTTTCCCAATCCCTTGCCTCCCTTTCCTCTGCCAGACATTTCGCTTGTTGTCGAAGAACTTTTCAGATTATGGGTGAAGATAATCGTTGGTGTACTAGAAATGCACTTCAACAAGAAGTTAGTGAGAAGAAGTTAGCGAGACTGACTTTATATCGCTTAAGACCAACTAGAGTTGAAAATGCTTTGGTAGTTGAATTTTGGGTTTTGGTAATGTATAAGAATGTAATCGATTTGCTCGTAATAATGTTTGAAGATTAGTCCTTAGACCATCTGATTGGAGTATAATTGAAACCGAATGAGTATTAAAAAATAAATTAAATAACTCTGAATTAATTGCTAGAAATAAGGCAAGACTAGTTAAAAAGGGTTTAATCAGATAAAAGTAATTGCCTTTAAGAAAAATTTCGCCCCTGTATCTGTTCAGAAGTTATTAAACTACTTATATTTACATGTTTTAGAGGTTTCAAGTTATATTAAATGGATACTAAGAATGCTTTCGTGAATTTTGTAGTTGAATAACTACATAGATTTGAAAGCTCAATATATTATAATTATATACATAAGTTGAAAAAGGCATTATATGTAGTGAAGCAAGCTGCAAGTGCCTGGAATGAAAATCTTAACTCTTTTCTACTATCAAAACCTATGATGCACAGACACGGACACGGCGACATGGACATGACACGGGACACGTTAGTTATTGAAAATATAGGACACGGACACAGGTTGAACACAGTATTATAGTTTTTTTATTTAAAAAATAGTGTATTAAAATTAAATAAGTATAATTTTAAAAATAAATTAAAAATAATAAGTCATTTAACTAAAATTTGTGCTTAAAATGATTAATATTAGGATGTCAAGAGTTAGGATCAGTTACCGAGAGTGGAGATGAAAATACCTTCACTGTCAAAAAGAAATGATAATGAGAATATTCGATGATTGGTATTAAGTGCGGACGTTGATTTGGTGTTGTGGATAATAAATAAGAAATAGTGCGGACGTTGATTTGGTGTTGTGGATAATAAATAAGAAATTTAGTTTAAATACCGCCAAATACAAGAAATTATATTTAAAAAAATTCATAAAATGTTTATGATACGCTCGTCCGACACGCGTGTCCAATTTGTATTTAATATTTTTTAATCGGACACGTTTTCGGCGTGTCCGACACGTGTCGGACACGGTGTCGGACACTGCACGCCTCTTTGAGGAGAAGTGCCGGTGCATCATAGATCAAAACTAATTTGTTAAGGGAACAGTTGACATTACATTAGTCATAAATAAATCAAGTCAGATATTCTAATTGTGTAAATATATGTTGATGATACACTATTGAGATTCATAAATGAGATGCTCTGTGAGAAATTTTCAAGTATCATGAGTCATGAATATAAAATGTGCATGATAGATAAGTTGTCATACTCTCTAGACTTCAATGTCAAACAAATACAAAATATAATGTTTTTCTCACAGACAAAATAAATAAAAGAATTAATTAAAAAATTTAATTTAGAACACTGTAAAAGTTCGAATGTCCCCATTAGCCCTACTACTAATTGGACAAACCTCAATGAAAATTATGTATATCTAAAGAGGTATAGGGGAATAATATAGTCATTGTTGTATCTCGCCGCTAGTAATCCTAATATTATATTTAAATGTACGTCTTTGTACACTCTTCTAACCTATTCTAAACGAATTACATCGCACTGTTGCTAAGAGAATTTTAAGGTATTTAATAGGGAGACATATGCTAGAGATTTGGTATCATAGGAATAACACTTCATTTAATTTGGGTAGATACTTTGATTTAGATTTTGTATGATGTATTATAAATAGAAGAGTATAACATGTCAATTCATAAAAAAAATTATTAATCTCAAGGTCCGCTGCTAGAGAGCAGAACTTAGTTGCACAGTCTTGAGCTGAAGTGGAATATTTAGTCATTGGAAGTAATGTTGCTCAAATCTCAAATCTTAAGCAACAATTTTTAGATTTTGTTATTTATGTGAATATTATACCTATTATGTATGATAATACTAACTCTATTCAGCATTTAAGAACCAAATTTATTAACTGTTGTCATCATTTCATTAGAGATCATATGTCGTAGGGTGTAGACATTCAATTTATCGATGCAAAAATCATGCGACAAATATCTTTGTGAAAAGACAAGGTCATGATAGGTTTAACACCCTTAGAACAAGACTTAGGATTATTGATATTGATGCCTAGACCTAGATGAAATCATACATGTTTTTGTTTATTCCATTGGAAACCTGTACCAAAAATAAAAAAACAGCCCTCCCTCTTGTTTTATATAGCACAACAATCCTGCATAAACTATATACCCATATCATATTCATATTCAAACATTGAACATAAAAACTAATGCCACATGCATGTAATAATATATTTGATCACAAAATGATATTGAGCAATCACCAAATAATTTAAAAATAAACATAAAGTTCGCTGTACAATAAAAAATGAATAATAAAATATACAAACATAGAAATAAAATATCCCACATAGAACTAAAATATCTAGTAATAACAAAAAAGTTCTAATTAGAATCTGTCTCATCATTCTCCTCCTATGCTGATGCTGACTGCTTTCCATTGAACTGTTCCCATTGCAACTCATCCAACAACTGACTTTATTGCATTTGCATCTACATCTACATCTACATCTACATCTACATCTACATCTACATCTACATCTACATCTACATCTACATCTACATCTACATCTACATCTACATCTACATCTACATCTACATCTACATCTACATCTACATCTACATCTACATCTACATCTACATCTACATCTACATCTACATCTACATCTACATCTACATCTACATGTTATAGCTTGTGATTTTTGACTTGATCTAGCTCTGCTTTAAGGGGGCAGCTACCTGTTGGTTATTCATGACTTTCGCCTGTTTGCTGAGAAGCTGGAACCACTAGATGTCTGCCCCTCGTATGCATAGGCTTACGAGCCTAAACCATAAACCCGGCCTTTCTGCATTCCACATATCGCTTGCAGCCAAGTGCAGTAGTCATAATAATCTGCTAATCCCCTAGAAGTTACCTCACCTGCTCTAGCCTGACTCTCTTGAAGTCGTATATACTCTTCGTATAAAAGGTAACACATAAGATTAATCAATTTACACATGAAACATAAAATTTTAAACTTATATACTCACTTAGTCGTTCCTTGCTCGCTTGTGAATTCATTGTTGGTCCTCCTGCTGCTTGTGGATGCTGTGGATATAGATAAGTTGGAGGGCCTCCATGAGAAGGTGTGTGTGGGGTAGTAAGGGTAGAATGGAGTACTGTGCGTGGAGTTTAGCAAAAGAAAGCGAGGGTTTGGTGAGTAAAACTGCGGACTACTAGTTAGAGTAGGTAAATGCGGGCTAGGCTGACTCTAAGTGGCTAGATGAGAAGAAGAGATCCCCTTAGTATGCATAGGCATATTGGTTGAGCCACTAATCACCTTTTTGATGCGCCTATAAAAATGTTCATGATCAATCCTCAGTGAGGCTCATCACCAAAAGCAGACTAGTTAAATTGAGTAAAGTTATCAGCGCATAAACCTAATCTTATATTTTTTAACTTTGTGGCGAAGGTAGAATTTGTATGATCAAAGTATTTCCTGGCCTCTGCTTTTGACGGATGTTTAATAGCACCTTGCGAGATTTGTTTATTATATCATCTTATATATGCAGCAAATCTCATGGATCATATAATTGTAGTCTAGAAATTATAGGTAAATTAAATATCGTACTGATTGGTAAATTCTTAAGCTTTCCTTTTTATCCTAGACTTTGGTTTAAGTCTAGGTGCATTGTAATGATGGCATATAATTTTCGATAAATCATCTTTATAGTATAACATGTATCCATTGACACAACAATTTATTTTTGTATATGTCAAATCAAGTTTGAAAATCAACTTCTTAGTCTGGTATAAATCTATATGAATTATATTATCTGCCAGGCTGATTTCTTTAAGCAGCCCAACGAATTGATTAAAATATTTACATGGGACATTATATTCTATGCTTAACATCTTCACAGCAATAAATAATTCTGAGTGAGTGGTGCACCCCTTCCAAATTTGTTATTGGACAGCATGCAGCAAATCATAAAAATTATGTGCCTCCTTATTTTATGACTCTTATGTATATTATTCTAATTATGTCCCAATTGCATCATAAACTAAGTCCTCAAGAGGTCGGATATTTTCTTTCTCAGCTATATTAGAACTTGTAGATGTGCCGCATCGAGAATCTAAATATGGCCCGTACTCACCTTGAGAAGTTCATTATCAATATTCTAGCATGAACCCTCTGCGATATAGATCAACCATTATGTTATCTGATGTGAGGTGCACTAAATCTTAATGTTTAGAATATGGACATGAAAATTTTCCATCTTAGATGAAGCTAGGTAGTGGACAGGCTGTCTGGATGAAAAAATTTATCCCATTAATGAACTCATCTATTAATATCTTTCGTCCTTGCGTCAATTGATTATACATCCAACTTCTTTGATTTCTAATATCCATAATATGAAGAATTTTGACTACACATAATATGATCATATGAGAGATTGGAGTAACATCTATTGAAGGAAATAGATTAAATTCAAATTAATTTGTAAATTGAATGATGTTAATTCTCATTTAAATCTAATTAGAAGGTCAACAAATTAACGACAACATTAAAGCCTTGCCTTGTACATGGGGTTGGCTACATGAGTCCTTTATCTCCATTATGTTTTATTAAAAATCAAATTCTTATTTAAATCTAATAAAGAAATCTCATTTGTAATATTTTCTAACCAAAGTATTTTTAGGTCTACCTCTACCTTTCTTAACATAAGTCAAATCTATTACCTCTACTTTCCTGACTGGGTCATTAGGAGGCTGTCGTTTTATGTGGCCAAACCATCTAAGACGACTCTCTCACTCTCTCTAATCTTTATCTTCCATAGCAGCTTCTCCAACCTTTTCACGTATATGCTCATTTCGCATCTTGTCTCTAAGAGTAAAGCCACTCATGAGCATTCTCATATCTACAAACACTTAATTCTATGCTTCTTTTTTAATTACCAACTTTTTACACCATAAAGCATTGCAGGTCTCACCACCATCTTATAGAATTTTCCCCTAAGTTTGAGGGGAATTTTCTATCACACAATAAGCCCAACACATTCATCCACTTTTCCCATCCAACTTGAATTCTACTAATAGTATCCACATCTATTTCACAATCAACTCCCTCTCTAGTTTTATTAACAAGGAAAATATCATCAACAAATTGCATACACCATAATAAAATCTCTTGCAAATGTCTATTGAGAACATCCATGACCAAAGCAAAAAGATATGGGTTGATGACAAAAAAACTTAACGTCGATTCCGGCGACCTAGGTGGCGAAGGATGGCAATAGAGGTGACATTCGGCAGGAGACGACTCATGTGATTGGGAGCAAAGAGAGAATGAAATGAATAGGTTGGGTGCAGATAAAATTTTTAATTCTATTCTAAATAGTTTTCAAAATGTTTTTCAAAAGTATGAATACATTTAACAGCCCTATCTAAAACTATTGTGAATGATAACTTATTTAGCCTAATAAATTTTTTTTGAAGAAAAAAATGATTATATGGGAGACATCATTAATTTTTAAACATAGAAAAAAGTATGTTGTTTTAGAAAATATATCAACAACAAAAAATACTATTATTATCTTTTTAGAGCTATAAATGTTTTCTATCTCTTTGAAAAAAAAAAAACACAGTAACTTGGTCACTCTTTTACAAGGGTTCAGTATTTTAGCTTCATTAAAGTGCTACACATATAATCTGATATTTCATGATTAATTTCCACTCAATGTTGTTAGAGCAATATGTTTTTTATCACCCAGATTACTATATTCCCGGAATAGAGTATTACATGACCTCTATAAGAAATCAAGTTTTTTTCATTACATTCTTTGCAGGAATTCAGTCTTTTGGTACTATCGGTGCTGACAATATGATGTAATTCATGTAAGGAGGGGTTACTTCCTGCTTATTTACTGGTAATTGCTAACATTCCTCTTTGAACAAACCTCAGAGGTTAATTCTCATCTGCTAAACCTCTTATTTCTATAGTTTTGTATAAGAACTCTTTGTTCAGACCTTTCTAGTGAAGCATGACTGTTTATATATTGGTTTCTCGTACAGAAATTTGTATGTTAGCATGCAGCAGCAATTTTTTTTTCTTTGTATGTTTCTGTTTTTTCTCCTGTGTATATCAGTTGGTATGAATATGAAAGAGCTGGACAGAGTTCTGTTGCTAAGAATATGAAAGAACAAGAAGAAAATGGGAAACAAGATGGAGAAATTATTCATTACATTCAATAAAAATTATCTTTGCTATTTTTTTGTTGATGATAAGGTGAGAAAATGATCTATAATAAATTTTTATGGGTATAATGTCAGCTGCAAATTTTAATTTATGATGAAATGTTGGATTTGAAGAAGGAAAGTTTTGAATCCGAGACTTGTATGCCATAAAAGTTAAAAGAGTATGACTTCGTTTGGGACAATTTTCTTACTGTTTTGGATGGTAGTTTGTTATTACAAAAAATTTAAATTTAAGAAATTTTTTGTACTAGAATGGTGTCTTAAGCCAATGCCCTATCGGAAATGGCTAGATTACTCTCTTGTTAACCTTGCATCATAGTTTCTGGCTATTTATATCACAATTTGTCAACATTGGCGAAGAGAGCATGATGGCATAAACTTTTGACTTTCATTTGAGGGAGAAATTATTGTGTAGAGGTCGGACACAAAATGTTGTCGGGAGACTTATCATAATGCACCACGTCAACGACATTGAGCGTTATAGAGCAGTATCGAGTTGCGGTACTGAGCATAGGGGTGATTTGGTGCATTCTAGTTGGTCTCCGGAATGTATTCGCAGTCTGCAAAAAATAATTAATTCATTTGAGGGGGAAAAGGACATTGAAATCTTTGGAAAGATATGACTCTATTTGAGGAGATTATTACGTGCGGAGTTCAGACAGAAAAATAATCCAGATTTTATGAGTATGCATGGTAAAAGTATGGTTGCTAAGCACATCATGTTTTTACTATACATAATCACTGAATCGGGACGTAGCTCCAGTTCGAACTTTACATGTAATAATCTCTCCTATTTGAGGGGATAATCTTATGCATATTATTTAAATTTTAGCTATTTATAAAATTAATATATTCTCTCTGCATTCATTAAATTTTCACCTAAGTACTAAAATTTGTAAGAAAACTCCATATTTTTCATTTGGGCAAGTTTAAAATAGTTTGGTCGAAGCACGTGTAATTACATTAGCCTGTTTGTTTATTTTTGAATAGTGGGGAAATGGCGGCCAAATAGAATTATAGTTATGATTTGAATAACAACTTTAACTAATTTAGCGTGATAAAGAAGTAATTAATCTTGATGAAGCTATTGTAAAAAATAATAATAAAAATTTTAAGAATATTCAATTGTTGAGAATTTCTAAGAGCTAAATAGTGATGAAGAGCATGCTTGCAATAGAATCAGCTCGGGCTAGTTCGAACTTGATTCAATGAATAACTCAATAATAAATCTAATGAAGTAATGAGTCAATTTGAGTCATATTTAGATCATTTTAAAATTACCTATATAGATTAACCTTAAAAAATTGTGGTATTATTTTTTATTTTTATTTCTTACATAACTAAAACAAATAGTATAAGAGAATTGAGCTTCATAAGCTATGCCCCCAAACCTAAGCTATAAATCCTCCATTTCATTTTTCCTCCCACTATTTTGGCTCCAAAACTCCACATTTTTAATTGTTAAGATGATTCATGTAAGTTCAATAATTTTCTATAATGTACTTTCTAAAATGCTTATTGTTGCGGGCTAGAATATACGCGGCGATAGAGTTATAATTCTACGTCTTAGCGTTGTACGGATATCCAGCTCACACACAAAGAACACAATATTTTTTACGTGGAAAACCCGGAAAGGGAAAAAACCACGGGGCCTAGCCCAGTTGAAGATGATTCCACTATAATTGAGGAAAATATAATGGTCTGACTCGTCCTTGAAGACGACCAGATTACAGATATCAACTGAGAGTTTTACAAAAGTCCAACGTCACTCCACTGTCCGGTGGTGATCTTGCGGCACTCCGGTGTCAGGCGGTGGATCGATAACAACACTTTAGTGTCAGGGGATACTTCAGCTTCGGATGGCACTTCGGCGTCCCTTGGTGGTTCGATGGTGGTGCGGCGAGACTACGGCGGTGGTGCGGTAGCACTACGGCGTCCCTTGGTGGTCCGGCGGTATTGCAGCAAGACTAGGGCGGTGGTGCGGCTGCACTTCGGCGGTGGTCAAGGATGAGCTAGGCGGTGGTGCTGGAACTCTTGAAGAGCTCTCTCCAATCTCTAGCCAAAAGTCCCCCTCATGTAGAGAGTGGGGGTCTACTTATAGGTTTTCATGAGTGACACCCCCCGTAAATATAGAGAAGATCCGGGGTAGGTTTGGAGTGCTCCATCGGATGGCCCGTATTGATTTCTTTGATTATAGAGCATTTATCGGACATTTGAGTGTCTTAATGATATCAGAATTTAATGATCTTAGGCTCGTTGGATTCGTCTCGTCGAGCCGCTCGATTTGATTATAAGCATGCCAAGTTTGGAAGTTGTTTGATAATCCAAATTGTAGTTTGAACCTTCCAAAAGCGCTTCGGGTCCTTGATTTGGACTCATTTGGGCTCGGATTGAGTCGATTTTGGTGTCGTTGAGTTCGTGCTTCCGAGACGCTCAGTTTGATTGTAAGTTTGATGAAATCGGAGTTCAGATGATCCCAATTTTAATTTTGGAAGTTTTCAACTTGATTTAGCCTCGAGATTCGTGCTGGATCAAGACTATTTTTTGGTAACATATCAGTTGCCCCCCTATTTTTGGACGTCGTAACTTTGTAGAGTCCGAAAATAAATATATATTTGAATCTTTTTGAACTGCTTATGATTGATAATTATGTCAATCTATAACAAATTGGGACGATTATCATACTTCTGTTGAATAATTTAGATATATAAATGAAAATATCTGTAGCAAAATATTATAATTAACACCCTATTAGATAAAGTAATATTAAGTTATTATAATTCACCAAAGTTTTTGGTTATAAATAACGAAATTTTTTTGTTAATGTACATTTATTAAACTGTAACTTTTTTAATATTTATATATATTACTGTACCATTTATAACCATCATCATGAGAAGGCCCAAAAATGGTTATGTTATTAAACTATAAAACGCATAGTATTATATTAACTAAAACTAGAAGTATATATTTATTAATAAAAAACTGTTGAGTATTAATAACCTCTGTACGACATTAATGAATTAAAGTTATTAAGTTACAGTTTATTGAAAACTTATTTCTTTTTCAATTTACAAATCACTTAGGTCCTGAATATGTACTTAATACATATATATATTGTCATAATCTTGACATATAACGTTACAGTTATAACTTCAATATACTTATTATGCTTAATTAACATGTTATCCAGAGATACCTTTCATTATGAAAATTAGTACGTTGGAGTGAAATAGTAGCCGTCCCTTATTAATTGATATATATTAATATTAATTAAAAAATATGGAATGACTTTTAAGTTTCCCTCTTCTTATTCCTATAAATACCCCATTGGGGGGAATGAGGAGCACAATCTCTTGTGTTGGTCCAAGTGTATTTTCTTTGGATTAATAACTTGGAGATTGTTAGTGACGATCAAAGCCTGGTACTCTTACGCAGGCTCCAGTTCACTCCTAGTGGGGGAAAACTGTCCGGCAAGAGTTTAAATACCGGTGGCTACAGTTTTCTCCTGTTGGGAGGCAAATGTCGTCAGACAGAGGAGAGGGTGCTCTGACTAGTACCCAAAAAGGTGGTTCTGGCTCGTCCGATAGGAGACGAGTTTCAAATAACCAAGATAATCTTCCACGTATGTTACTTCACATTCCTCTCTTTATTATTTTAATAGTGGTAATTCTTAAGTATTTTTTCTTTATTTATATATGCCCCTCCAGGCAGCAGACCGCTAAATATGCCAGATATTGCCCCTTCTACTGATAAAGCGGTTGAGATGGTGCGAGATCCTCGGACTGTGGAGGTCGATGAGAGTAGGAGATCGACATCAATTGATGATGTTCCATCATCAATTACTTCGGATGATGCCTTGATTGCTATTCGCAAGAAATATCATCTGCCTAATGACTTAGTGATGGCTGTTCCTAAAAAGACCGATCGAGCACGATATCCCCCAAAAGGGTTTATTACTTTGTACGAGATGACATTGCGGGCAGGTTTGAGATTTTCTCTAGCCCCTGAGTTGCTCGAGATCTTTAGAGCATGCGGTGTCCCCTTGGCCCAATTCTTATGCAGGACGGTTACGATCATTGTGGGCTTGACAGTTTTTTATAGGGAACGCGGTGTCAAGATGACTATTGACCACTTATCCAAGATGTGCAAACTTACAAGTGATGTTCAAGGGTGTGTTTTATGTAGAGGTAGAAAGTGGCTGGATTTCTCAACACGCGATCCTTCTAAGAATTGGTCTAGCTCATTCTTTTTTGTACAGAATGATTGGAGACTTTCTGAAAAGTGGGGGAGGTTAAAGGAGCTGCCAAACTTCCCACAACTAGGGGAGGAAGAAATATTGAAAACTCTTAATTTTTTTGACACAAAAAGTCTCCAGGAGGAGTTGCGGCATATTAGTCAGTATGTGCTGGAGGAAAAACTTTTTAAAGTTGGCCTCTCTATTCATGCGGGAAGATCTCATGCGATTCAGTTAAAGAAGAATAAGAAGGTTCGTGAGGCTAGTCCCAACACTCTAAGGCCTTCATCCAATAATCCTTTGAGAGGACAAGGAGAGGAGGGATATTCTCTTGTAAAAAAGAGAAAATTGAATGATGCAGCGATCTTGTCAAGCGTTTGCGAAGCATGCCGGGAGCCCATTCGCCCTTTGATGACCGATATTGCCGCCCTTAATTCAGATAGAGATGTTCAGCCCCTCAAAATACCAATTCCTGAAGATGTATTAAAACATGTATGTATTAGACGGCGGCGCGCGAAAGAAATGGTTAGTTGCATTGATCTCCTTTTTCTTCCTTCACCCTTC